GCAAGGAGACCTGCATGCTCATTGGCTAACACCTAATCCTCCTGTCTGTCTCTAATAATGACAGTACATTAGAAAATGGATTTGACGTCTTACTCAATGTGACCTGAAATTAGTTGCTGTGCCCATAAACACATGAGGAAAGTGTTTATTGATGCCAGGCCAGAGGGCTGTTTTCCCTTAGACTTAGACAGGAAGGCTTTTCTACAACCACAGGTATCGCCCTCTGGTGCTCATTAGCCTTGCCAGCTGACATCCCTGGACATTAGGCCTTCTGCACTTGTTTCACTTTTAAGCCACGTCCAACGTTTATGATGACGAAGATGTGTAAGAAACAAATAAAATCGTCACTGACTCAGCTTTCGAGCGGTTTGGTTAGGTTTTGTTTCGGATTTTATATTATCTATCACACCCCATATCCTCCTGCTTAAATAATACACTAATTACATGCACAGTATAACCACAACCCAATCAAATAGTCTTTGATCAACCACAGCAGAGACATCTAGCGGTGGCCACATTTCCACAGCAAGTGCATACACCGTCGCGATACTTAAAACAAGCACAGGTCTCCAAATAAATAGAAGAATGGCACAGTGCCGTTGAGGCCTTTTAAAGAGACACGCAATGGAGGCTTTGAAGTTGCCGGAGCAGGATAGATGCTGCTGAGTATACCCACCAAGGCCCGTTTTACACAGCTAGTGTGCTAGCACTGGAGCTTTACTCACTTGGGTCACGTTCAGTTAATAAACTGAAAGCCACTGACCGGCACTTACCTACGCCCGAGCTTCCTCTAAGTCCCGGCGATTCCTGGCACCACTTAAACCAACCCCGCCAAACTAAAGGCGTTTTCCGCACTTTTTGACCATAACGGCATTTCTCCCCCGTCTGCTAACATTAGCATACAGCTCACTGCTAGCTACTGACTGTCAAGACTTGGCCAGCAAAGCTAAAGTCCCTCCTCCTGCTCTAGAAAACCACACTGACATGACCACAGCGCTGGGAAAACATCGACGATATCCATCACAGACTGAAGCCCAGCAAAGTCACACAGACGCGGCGTCAACAAACATATCCTCGTTCTTGTGTTATACTTACAAAAGATCCAGAGGGACTAATCCATCCATTGAACGCCGCTGGTAATATGTAATAGCAACACACATAAGTGTGACATAAACGATTTTCAATCGGTGACCCAGTTTCTCTTCACCGTCATGCCTGTCGGACCACTAACCTAGTTTTTCAACCAATAGCGTTTACCCTACCGTCGTAGGTGTCCTGTCAGCCAATCAGACGCGAGTTCAGGCTGGGAAACAATGACCGACGTGCTCGTTAGCCAATGACGGTCGGAGATGAAGGGAATGCAGACGCTAGCCGTGTGTGAGCCGTAGGCCCGAGTCCAATCCGTCCACTCCGCCCTCCCACTTCGTGACGAAACTAACCTCTCTTCTCATTTCACATGTTGTCCTGGAGGTTATTCTGCTCCGTAACTAGCGTTCAGAAAAAATCCCATTTAATTTAATAATTTTTCATCATTTTAGAAAAAACATTAATGTACTTTTTATTACATTTTTTTCTCTGAAATTTTCATTTACTACAGAAATATTTGCTTAAGACGGTGGCTTAACTTGGACATATCAAGTCCTTCTCAAGTTCCACAACCACAAATGCAAATTTATGACTCAGTTTTTCTTGTTTGTTTATCACGACGCTTCATTTCAATTATTTGATTCTGTTTTGTTACTTTTGGTCTTTCTTAACAGCCTGAAATAAATTTTATTGAAATAAAGATTGTAGATCACCAGACACCACACCAAAATGCAGATGGAAAAAGGTGAGCAAGAGACACCAAAAGAGGGGAACAGAACAAAAGGAATTACTTAACCTAAGGGATTTTCCTATTTCTCTCATTTCTGCCTCCTCT